TTTTTTTTTTTTTTTTTAAAGAGATGTTAGAGATACTGATGGCTGTAGACAGGAAGGATCTCTTGTAAAGGTCCATTCCACAGTGGATCCTAAGAAACTGGCTGCAGATGCCGTCCGATCCGTCCACCCAGACTCAGCTGGCCTCTCGGTTCCCCTGGGCTGTAGGGGACTGAATACTCCTCCCAGAGCGATGGCCACTCCTCCCAGCATGATGGCCACTCCTCCCAGCAGTCCGCCGAGCTCCTCGTCGCTGCGGACAGACAACTGTAGGTGCCGAGGGACGATCCTGTCCTTCTGCTGTCATGAGCCGTGTTTCCTGCTAGTTCCAGGATTTCAGTGGTCAGGCACTTGAGCACAGCTGGCAGGTAGATGAGAATGCATCCACAGAACAGCCTTTTCAACTCATTTGAGATTTGGGGCTGTAGCTGAGATATTATTTGAGTTTTTGAGATGTTAATCAGCTGTTGGTTGTAGAAAACTGCCTTGTTGCCATGGTTACGCATCATAACAAATGTCCAAAACTAAAAAAGTTTCAGTAAAAAACCTTCCAGCTGCACAGCATCTGATACCAGAGGAAACAATCATCCAGAAAATGTGATTTACTTCCAGAAAAAGATGAATTAAAGTTTCCAAAAGCAAAATATCAGAATGAAAGTAACAGAGCTGCTCCAACATGCAGCCTCCTGGAGCGGTGCAATTGTTTATGTTTCTGCTAAATTCAAGTTTGACTTTTTAAATTGTTTTACGTGAAGCTGCAGTGAAATATTAAATAAAATAAATCTAACTCACTGTTTTGATCCGACAGGTGCATGCTGAACACTGTGGACGGCCCGTCTGAGTCTGTGGAGGATTATCTGTGCGACCCAGAAGAGATGCCTCTGGGGGCCCGGGAGAGCCGGCTGCCCTGCCCCGAGGACTGCGTCCTGAACGACTGGGGCCCCTGGAGCCGCTGCAGCATGGTGAGAGACGAATCCAGACCAGGAAGCACCTGGCACAGATTAGATAGGACAAACTCCGCAAAGCCCACAGAGATTTATCTCGATATCTTTTTCTTGTCACAAACATCGTCCCCGAGGCTCAAAGAATTCAGAGCTTTGGCTGCACCGTGTTATTGTGAGCAGTGTGTGAATCTTTGTCAACAGGTTATTTCTCGTCCACCAAGGAGGAATAAAGGAGATCCGTGAAGTGGGAAGCAGGAGAAAGTGGCTTATATATCACCTATATTACACCGTGCTCAGTGTGCATTCAGCAGGGAGGGAAGATGATTTATGATAAAGAGTAACAACTCAGGAGCGGGTTTCCAGCTCACATTTAACGATGCACACACCTGCATGCAGGCAAGAAATAATCTGCCCGGTTTGGGAACATCACTTGGCAGACCGCCACGAAAATGAAAAATCATTTTCTCTATTAGATAATATACTGGAGGTTAAAAGACCTTTTCTCAGAAACATTAAATTTGTTGCAGATAGTAAAGTCCAAATAAGAGACTTGTAGTAAAAGCAAAAAAAAAAAAGTATATCTGATTTATGTTTTCAGGAACAACAATGCTACTTTTATCTCAGCATCAAAACATAAATCTACACTTTAATAACTAATAGACTGATTAAAATCAATATTTTCTTTCTTTATTAAGCAGCATTCAACTTAACTGAGCTTCAGTTGTAACTTGGAAAAGCGTAAGATTTTGCTGTGCTCAGGAACCAGGCTGATTATTACCATACAGACCAATAACAATGGATTTATCGTGGTGCCTCCATTTAAACGCTGTAGCGTCTGCAGTGGTATGATGTGGGCAACAAATTTATTAAGAAACAAACCAACAGAGAAGTGTATCACTGCAGCCATCAGTCGTTTTTATGCAAAGACAGCCATATTAAATTTTAATGTTAAGGTTCGTCAGAAATCTCCAACTGTCAGCATCAAAATTTGCACGTTGGAGGCGTTTTTCCCGACTTGGTATTTGAAAATTCTAATTTCTGAATACAAATTAAATGTCTCATAAGTTTAAACTGCACTCAAAAACACAGTAGATGACATAAAAAAATATACATACATATTTTTATAATATTTTAGCTTCCACCCATGATACATGAAATTAATGTTGCACGGTTGATCTTTAAAGAGATGAAAAATAGAGCAAAGAGGGAGGTAGCAAAGACAAAGCTGAAGGTGTATGATGAGTTGTATGAGCGACTGGACACTAAAGAGGACGAGAAGGACTTGTACCAACTGGTGAGACAGAGGGATCAGGCTGGAAAGGATGTGCAGCAGGTTAGGCTTATTAAAGATAGGAATGGTAATGTTCTAACAAGTGAGGAGAGTGTGACGGGAAGATGGAAGGAGAACTTTGAGGAGCTAATGAAGGAAGAGAATGAAAGAGAAAGAAGAGTAGAGGTCATAGAAACTGTGGACCAGGAAGTGGGAAAGATTAGTGAGGGTGAAGTCCGGAAAGCTCTGAAAAGAATGAAGAAGGGGAAGGCAGTAGGACCTGATGACCAGTGGAGGTTTGGAAATGTCTTGGAGGCTGGTGGCCATTTTTAAGAACAAGGGTGATGTACAGAGTTGTAGCAACTACAAGGGGAATTAGGTTGATGAGCCACACGATGAAGATCTGGGAGAGAGTTGTGGAAGCAAGACTTAGACGAGAGGTGACTATCTGTGAGCAGCAGGATGGTTTCATGCTGAGAAAGAGCACCACAGATGCCATCTTTGCTTTGAGAATGATGATGGAGAAGTACAGAGAGGGTCAGAAAGAACTCCATTGTGTCTTTGTGGATTTAAAGTATCTGACAGAGTGCTGAGGGAGGAGGTGTGGTATTCCATGAGGAAATCTGGAGTGGCAGAGAAGTATGTTAGACTGGTACAGGACACGTATGAGGACAACAGGACAGTGGGTATATTGGTAGAATGATGTTAGAAATGCAGCTGCAAGGAAAAAGACAAATAGAAGACATATGGATGCAGTTAGAGAGGACATGGAGGTAGTTGGAGTGAGGACAGAGTGAGATGGAGGAGGATGACTCACTGTGGCGACCCCTGAAGATGGAAAAGCTGAAAGAAGAAGAAGATGTGGGTAAAACAGAGCCTTGTTTGGTGAGATGTACAGTGACTAGATGGGATTACCATCAGGGAGCAGCTCTGAGCCACTTCTTGTTTGTGATGGACACGTTGTCAGATGAAGTCAGCCTATGGACAATTATGTTTGCAAGACATCTGTCATGAAAGTAGGTAGCAGGTGGAAGAGAGCCTGGAGAGGTGGATGCTCTGGGAAAAAGAGGAATGAAAGTCAGAATTCAGGGGTGTGATTGAGAGACGGAGCAGTGAAGCTGTGAGGAGTGGAAGTACTGAAAATGGATGAATTGAAGGTCATCCAAATCAACAGGCAGAACATAAGAGAGGTATTTATATATACCCGGTATATAGGTATATACATTGTGGAATATACAGTATATCATGTGCATTTTAGATTATATTACTACCTTGAAATACTTATTCATTTAAATTCATCCTGCTTGCACCGTTAAAATTCTACCATGCTGTTGTTCAGTATCTCTTTAAAACGTAAATATTATAACTTTTTCACTTTTTGGTACTTTATTTTTGTACCCTTATTGCATGCTTTAGTATTTTTTGTTTGTTTGTTCTTTGTTTTTTTTAGCGAGTCAAATCGGTTCTTCTCATCCTGAGCATTTCATTGTACCGTTGACCTTGTGTTGACCTTGTGTTAACCTGCATATGACAGTTAAACACAACTTGAAGGTTTGGAAGAGAGATTAGGCAGGGTGGACGGGAAGAGAAGGGAGGATCACAAGTTGGTAGTGAGACATGCTGAGACGTTTGGTTTGGAGACAGTATTGCTAATAAAAAGACGAGGAGGAGCTGGAGGTGGCAGAGATAAAGATCTGATGTGACCACAATGGACAGGGTAAGAAATAAGTGCATCAGGAAGACAGCTGAAGTTCAGAGACCAAATTAAAGAGACGAGGCTGAGATGGTTTGGGCGTGGGTTTCATTCAGTTTTTGCTCCCCTTCTGTAAGAACTTTAGGTTCTCGAGCACCTTTTCATTTTTTTACCAGCAGCACCCGGGTCATTGTTAATCACACCCCATTCTCTACGTTTGTGCTTGACGCACCATCTTCCCACAATTCCACTCTCGACATGAAGTCGACAGAGGCACCAGCGGGACTGTGCGCATGTTTTATTCATGGTGCTGTCGATGGAGCCGTTCAGAAGGCTGTCGGGTTCGTCTCCTAGCTTCAAACCAGAGAATCTGAAACTTCTTCCAATCTGGACAGAATTTCTTCTTCAGCTCTTCAGTGATTTCTTTCAGGGAGAAAATATAAATTCAATTGCACATTTAGTTTTTTTTTTTTTTACATTTAGCATGCTCAAACATACATGAAGCATTATATTTATATTGGAAATCTTAAATGAACTGTGCTTTAATGACTTTAGAAAAATGTAATTCTTCTGTGCAGCATCTTTCCAGTGTTTTACCACGTCGTGTCTTTTCCAGCCCTGCACCAGCAACAACAGTCGAGCGCGAGCAGCATACGCGCTCCGGTACCCCACCGTGGGAAGGCAGTGCCCAGAGACGACCGACAGAGAGCCTTGCCGTCTGAATCTCAACTGTTTCAACTACTTCTACAACATCACAGGTAGAGAAACTGCAGCATGAAAGTGTTGTGGAGACTGGAACATGAAACTCAGACGGACCTGTGCCTCCTGAGAGCGGCAGCTTCATGTTAGACGCCTCAGATATCGTGTTTTTGAGCCAGAACCGTGACCAAATCAAACCAAGCTTGGTCAAATAAAAGCTTTAGACTTTCTGCAATGACTCAGGTACACACTGAATTTTTATGGAGATGTTTAAACAGAAAAATCTGTTCATGGTTTTATCGTTCTTTCTTGTTGAGGTAAAACCTTTTCTGATAATTCATGCAACTATAAACTGTTCAAAGCAGCTCTTTGCAAGACATCTTGTCTGATGGTTTCTCACATCTCATGCCACTTTTATCTCACACATCTTGTTGTTGCCTGTAATTACAGGTTTTGGCAAAGTGTTGAGAAACCAGAACATTTGCCTGTTAGCAAAATGAACAGTTGGACGGATCTTGATGAAACTCTCGTCTACACCTGGATAACTTTTGGGGTCAACCAGTTCAAGATGGCTGCCACAGCTCAGTGACCTTAGAAAACACTAAAGTGGAAATAACTTGGTCAGTTTTGCAGATATTGAGCTAAAATGTGGTGTGGCAGTAGCTGAGAGTCATCCCAACAAACACTGAGTGCGAACACGCGACGTGAATTCTTTTTTAAACTTCGGCACGCAGTACGTTGGGCGACATGCTTTTACTTTCATTTACACGTTAGCATAAACGTCAAACGTTCACAAAACCTTTTCAGCTGACAGTCTTCTCAAGCTGCAGATCATCACATTGCCTCTACAAAGGCTGATTTTTAATTTCTGTCCTAAAACTGTCAAACTTTTAAAACAATTAAAAGTAGAAATGTGATTGATCTGAATTTCATCAGAAATTGTTTTTATTGCATAATCCCACATCTTAAAGCAGCAGCGTCCCTCCTCATGGATGTTCAATGAAACACAGCACTGCAACAGTATCCATCCCTCTTGCTAATCTTTCTATTATGTTGCCTTACAACCAAAAATAAAATAATAAAACTGAAAAGTGGTGCATGCAAATGTATTCAGCTCCTTTGCTTTATAGCACCGACCATTACCTTCAGAAGCCAAATAAACTGGAACTAAGATCCAGTAACTCAGATGTTCTCAGTACGTACACACCTTTCATAGTAGCTCCCAGAATCAACACCAGTTCAACACTTCCAAGCACTGAGGTCTATCGTTAACCAGGAGACATCATGAAGACCAAGGAACTCTCCACACAGACCAGAGACTACGTTGTGGAGAAGTATAGATCAAGTTTGGCTTAAAAAAAAAACCTTTAACCCCAAACACCTCATGGTGCTCCATAGAATCCATTAAGAAGGATGCCATCCCTGCAAACCTGCTGAGAGGGTCGCCCACTAAAACTTACGGAGCTGACGAGGAGGGCGTTAATCAGAGAAAGATCCAGAAGATCAAAGAGAACCCTGATGGAACTGGGCAGCTCTTCTGCTGAGATGGAAGGACTAAATTGTGAAATAAGCTGGTGTAGAAAGATGAGACCAAACTTCACGGACACCAGGCCTGAGGCAAAACAACCATCTCTTACCCTAAGAACAGCACAGTGGTGGGAGTATCATGCTGTGGGGGTGTTTTCCTTCAGCGGGCTTTAGGGGAACTGGTCAGAGGTAAAGGAGATATAAATGGAGCAAAAACAGAGGAATTCTTAAGAAGAGCTTGTTAGAGCCTTCCAGAGATTGGAGACTTGGACCGAGGTCCACCTTCCAGCAGGACAATGAATCCTAAAGACACCGCTGAAACAGGACTCGGACAGGAAGTGACAAAAGTTCCAGGTTAGAGCATCATGGAGACGGACCTGAAGAGACTCGATGCTAGAGCTGCTGCAGAAGGTAGCTCTTCTCACTGGTGTTAAAAGATTTGCTCAGAGACAAACAAACCAAAACATTCCCAAAGTAATTTGAGCTGGCAGCCTTCTGGATCTCTCTGGAATATCTTCAGATCACCTGCAGATGTTGCTTCTTGGTATTTCTGTCTTCAAACCGTTTCGATGAACCGAAGGAGAGATTTCACCTTTGTTTCATCAGGATATTAGGATGATTTTACAGCTCAATCTCACTAATTTAGGCAGATCACAATCACCATCTTCCAGTTCAGCTGAACTGGGATACGTGGCATGATCCCTCCTGGTGTGAGCGCAGTGAAAACCACGTATCCCAGGGTGCACGTGCATAATAAATGAGGCGAAGTTATTATTGGGTAAAGCATCTTTTTCCACCGTCATTGCAGAAACCATCTGAGGTGCTTTATCCTTCACGGCTCCGCTCCTTCTCCCTTCCTTTTTGTGTCTTACCGTCGATCTTTCTTCTTGTGCTCTCCTTATTTTCAGTCCCCAGAGCGTCACAAAGCCGCTCGGCAGAAGGAGGCACAATCCCCCGAGTTGCAGACGAGCTCTGTGCAGCTAAAAACAGCCAGTCTTTGTTAGCGGATGGTGTATTTCATGAGTGATACCTCAGTCTCTGTCATAAAAGAGTGTTTTTAACGACACACTCAGGTGATTTAAAGGTATCGGCATCTTGACTTTGAAATAAAATGTTGCCTTTTCTCCTCACAGACATCATTTTTTAGATGTTTCTGTAGAGGTTTATCAGGAAAACTAAAACTGATGCTGCTTTTCATTCCCTTATAAGGTGAAAACTTGGCACAAACAGCTCAACGCAGTCATGAAAGAAGGTGATGGCAACCATTTTTATTTAAGTAAAATTTAAGACGTTTTAAATGACCACTTTCCAGACGGCGTATTATTTCGTTATCAGCAGTGAGCAGCAGCCAAGAACTTTACAGAGCCTGACTTTAAAGAGAACAGAAAACACACGGACCATCTCAAGGTGATTGCATCAATGGACTAAAATGTATTATGCAACCGAAGCATGCACAGCACTGCTGACTCATCTGGCAGCTTTAGGTGCAGATTGTATGCGCATATGTTCGGATAGTCTCGTAGAGAGCTGGGATTTTTGTCTCAGTTCTGCAGCTAACAACGTTTTTAAAGTGCAGGATTCAACGTGAGACATGTCTGCTTGTGTCTCTGAAAAACCGCGTGTTGCAGTTTCTCACTTTGTGGGATTAATTCAGTCTGAAGTGTGAATCTGATGCGTCTGGACACGTCTGAACGGTGTCACTTTGGGTTTGGTTTCTCTGTCGTCTCACTTCACCTACAGAGCACAGAAATGCAGAAACACGAGGTTTGACTGTCACTCGGATCCGTCTCATATTTCACACCCAGCTCCACTCTGCAGTCAGGTCATTAGCATTTTAATTTTTAGTATTTGAATCTTTTTTTACGTGATGTTATGAAGTAATAACAGCTCTGAAGGGATGGACTCCAGACGTCTGCTTTCTGTGCAGAGACATATGTTCAGGTTGTAACTGCAGTGATTCTCCGATGCTGCTGCTTCTGACTTCAGGTTTGTCAGAACTAATGAAGCATTTGGTTAATTATCCCATTTCTTTGTCTTAAAAAACGGTCAGTACCTGATTTCTTAAACCGCTTCCTTTTTTCCTCTCGTTGCAACACACAAAACGCTGTGACCATCAACATTTACTGAGTCTGGCAACATTCTGATGAACGCCTACACTGTTTGTTTCATCTCGTCTTAGCTGTGTAGTTCTTTTAGTTCTTTTTCTTAGATAGAGAACTTTACAGGAACATGCATAAAAGCCCATTAGTAAAGTGCCCTGAGACAACTTTGTTGTGATTTGGCGCTTTATAAATAAACTGAATTGAATTATTTCCTGTGCCGATGGGAATTGTCCAGGAAGGAACTCTTCTTTGATTCCTATAAATGAAAATTCCACTTTTAATCAGACCTGATCGTTCAGACCATGAGTTCAAGTATCTGTTAGTCTTGTTCACGAGGATTGAGCAGGACATGGATGGACTGATTATGGCAGTGGGTCCCAAACGTGGTCCTTGAGGAACACCATCCTGCATGTGTCAGTTGTTTCCCTTCTCCAACACACCTGATTCAGTGATTTGATTCATTCCTTCTGTTCTGAAGAAGCCTGTTGATCGCCCATTCATTCAAATCAGGTGAGCAGGGAAACAACTAGAACATGCAGGATCGTGTTCTTCAAGGACCAGGGTTGGAAACCACTGGATTAGGGCTTTGTTTGCAATGATGAAGGTGTTGCTTAAGTCAGTTGAAGTGAAAAGAAAACAGCTGGGTGAAATGATGAACATCTCCATTTACTGTCCGTCTGTGGTCCAACCCATATCTACGCTCATGAGGTATGGATCATGACTGAGATATCAAGATCCTAAGATCCAGTGAGTTTCCTCCAGGTTGGCTGGTGAGAAGCGTCATCATCCAGGGGAGCGGAGAACAGGAGCCACTGCTCCTCTGCATTGAAAGGAGTCAGAAGGTACTTTGGGTACCAGATTAGGATGCTGCATGGATGCTTACCTTTGGAGGTTTTTCAGTTACTTCCCACTGGGAGGCAGACCCAGAATTTTCTGGAAGGATTACATATCCTCTCTGACCTGGGAAAACCTTGGGATCTCCCAGAAGAAGTGGCAGTGTGTCACTGGGGAGAGGGAACTTGTTACTGGTTTTCCACCATTTGTAATGGACGTCACTTTGTTTTTGCCAACATGAACAGAAAGTTTTTATTCAGACGACGAGGTGAAACGGTGGCAGCCGTAAAGTTCTCCTACTTTAAAGCTTTGTGCGCATGTCTGTGTAGATCTGTCAAAAAGTGCAGGGATGGTTTGTAAAAGTTGGATCTACTTGAAGAGAACGTTGGAAATTCTCCTCGCTGAAGGTTTCCAGGTTGTCCCAGAACTGACGACCACAATTTGTCTGCAGCGTTTCCCCTACTGTTATAAAGCCGGGCGCCCCGCCACCTCCAACAGAACCGAGCGCCCCGCCCCTCCAACAGAACCGGGCGCCCCGCC